CGAGGATCCCTATTGCTTTTAAGACCCTCCCACCATTACAAGACAAAAAGATTATTAAGAAATCTGATCTTTTGGATAATATAAGATATATACCAGTAAAATTTCTTTAATTAGGTATGGCTACTATAAGATATTATATTAAAACAACATGATCCAATTTCTACTAGGTTATATAAAAACCTGGGATCCATTATAAGTCACCTTTCTATTGCAAGTAGATAAAAAATTATTGCTCAAAGAAAGTTGGAATCAAGTGTATCCTGGAAGTAAAGGTTTTCACTAGATAATAAGTCTCTTTAGACAATACACAAGAAGAAAATCAAGATCAAAAATAGATAAGCTTCTCAGATAGTCAAGAAAGAAAGGATATTCCAATCAGATATTTCTTATTGAGAAGAGATCTTGAGAAGTAGGTCTTCGGAGAAAGCTGGAAATCTTTTTTTCAAATTTTTACTTTTTTATATTCTTGTTATTTATTTAAACATTTTTAAATATCTTCTTCCTCTTTTTTTCAATCCATCCTTTTATAGTTTCCTGTATTCCAATGGCTTGGATCGACATATGACAGTGACAACCTGCTAGCAATTATACAGTGGACTAGGAAAGTTTTTATCCAAAAATACTATGGAGTAAAATATTGTCCCCAAGGTTGAATTTAGAGGCTTTTATGCTTGCGATAAGTTAGTTAGATAAGAATAATAGTTTAGCTATAGTATGTATCATACTGCTCAAATAAAAATATGCTTATGTTTTCAATTGATTAATAAATTGACAATCTAACCTGGCTACGGATACTCAAAAAAAAAAAACATTATAAATAACTTTTATAAATTTGAAATTTTTTTAGCACTAGCCAACCTAGGCAAATTAACTTTCTTTAAAGGGGTGACAACAAGTCACAAGATAAATACCTTTCTATGGAAGACTATTCTATTGAGTTTTATTTGATAGTAAACAAGTAGTACATTTAGAGAGCCTCTATGTAATAATACTGCATAAATGCAAATAAAACAGGATTGATAAAAAAAAATTTTTTTTATTGCCAATACTATTTATATATGTATTTAATTGTATTTTTATTTCTCGATAAAACTTATTTTATAGCGCTGAAACTAGAAATATTAATTAATCATGCTAATAAAATCTAAAGGCACTCCTATAAACTCAAAAACTAGTCGATTAAGATTCAGCGAAATAAATGCAATGCATTAAAAACTTTACTCAAATGTACATACACATAATAAATAGGCGTGTTCATATGCCTTAAATTATTGTATTATCATAGTGTAACTACAAGGTTGATAATATATATATAAATTAGCTAAAACCAAACGCTGCAGTCTAAGAGTAAACCAAAAAAAAAAAAGACTAGTATATTTAAAAAGTACATACTACATCTAAACACCCGCCCCGAAATGATTAACAAAAAACAAATTACATTATATAGGAACGAAAAAATAATATACTTTTGGCAAAAATAACTATATATAGTATACTAAGTGTACTGGAGAAGGTTCTTTTTTCGTCCTTACCGTAAAATCAAAAGAAAATAAGGTTCGAGATAAGAAACTTGCAATCACCCTCATAATCATCAAAGTAGATAGATATATAAAGAAAAAAAAAGAAAAATCTAAAACAAACCCTCATGACTTCTATCAATAATAAAACAACATTTGGGCGTGTATAGAACTTCTTATCACTGAGCACCCTGCACTTCGACTTGACCTATTGATGACGGAGAATGCGCTTCGGATATAGTTACCCGCGGCGATGCATGCGCCTGCGCATCGTTATCAGTGGATTGTTGTTGGTCTTGTTGCGAGCCTTGCTGTTGAACCAATTGCTGCTGTTGCTGTAAATAGTTGTTTGACATTGCATTGCTAACTGGCGTATGAGGAGCCGAATTCATCATCGGGAGCATATATGGATAAGCCGCTGGGTTGAACATAGCCGGATGTCCATACATACCCGCCGCGACTGCTGCCAA